AACGTTGACAACGAACTGTTTCTGAGCGTCGTAAGCAGTCCCCTTGCCTAGGATATTGGAACGCGTTTGCGTCTGCGCACCCAACAGCGCCCACACGTACGTTCGAATCGAGTCGTTCAACCTGATTACCCCGGCACGAGTGAACCCTCTCGACGTGTCCAGTATGAACTTTTTCCAGTCATCCGCTGCCCCCTGCTCGAACCTCCAGACTCGGTAATCCTTGCTGTTGTCGAAAGCCATGTAACGGTCATCCCACTCGTTTGTTGTGATATGATATGACTTGTATCCCCATTCTTTCAACTTCTCACTGGCATCCACGAGGTGCATGTTGTGAACGATGGGGATACCCAGCCCGTGGTTCGGTCCCGGCAAACGCCAATCCGTCTTCGTGTTTAGTTCGAATTCGTTGCAAATACGTTCGTAGGCCCGTCTATCGTACTGGTTGTTTACTGCATTCCACGCCTTTTCCTGTGGGAGCGGGGCGCTGATCTCTTTGAGGATACGCCTGACCTGGTAGTACACGGGAAACGTGAACACAGACTGACTCAGCGACCACGCCGAACGTCGGTCAATGTCACACCACACCCCGTTGTAGCGCACCACACGGCGAAGTTGAGTTGATTTTGCCAGAACTGCATCGGGTTGTTGAACCAAGCGTGAACTACCTTAGCGTTAGTCACCGAAAACTTATACTTATCAAACACATCTATGAACTGGGTGTCGAAATACAACCCGGCAGCGACCACGATCTTCATGTGGGGGAAATCTACGTTCAGTTTAGGGTAAAACACACCAGGGGAGTACATTTTAAAACTTTTATATAATGAGCATATATACTCTAACATGTACATAACACTTCCAGGAATAACGAGCGGCGAGGCCGTTCAGCTGACGCACGCGATCGATAACACGTCGGGTCAACTCGAAGTCGCACTCGTGCGATATCACCTACCTACCACGATGGACTAACATCAACGCTAGCAACAATAAACTGTTCGTAGAGTGGCGCTAGCAACAAGATAATTGATGGTTACTACAGCGTGTGCTCTCTAGCGACGAGGTCTTCAAACCCCTGGAGCCGAACTCAAGATGAACGACTCAAACGGTACAGTGGTGTTAATCAACAACGGAAGAAACTCCTTGAGGCTCGGTCGACCATTGGCGAGGACACTCGGTATACAGCCTGACGAGATAAAACCAACGACTACCGCCACAGGCACGAAGTTACCCGACCTAGTACCGTACCGAGAGCTGTGCATTCATCTCAGCCAGGTTAGCACAACGGACAACATTCAAGGGGGTCACCCTTCCACTATACTGAGAGCCGTACCGGTGAAAACTGAGAAATACAACGACGGCAGAACCGAGTCGTTTTCACCGCGGCAGTATAAGAGGTTAACCCAGGGCAACATCCCTGAGTTGATAATATCGGTGTTAGATATAAATCATAATCTCGTGAATATAGGGTACCTCAGCATAACGCTGCACATAAAATGACCAGCGCACAAGGCCCGGAATGAAGTTGAAAAAATGCATCAATGTGGGGATCTCCGACCTCGGGGACACACGCGGATTCGACGACCCCGGAGTAGATGGTAAATTGTACGCCTTGCAGCTTAAAAACAGTATTTACAAACGGGTTGAAGTCCCCTCCGGTGGTACTAGCAACCTAAGTGATATAGTAGATACCACAAGAGCGGCAGTCAACACTAAGTACACCCTTGTCAACACCGGTGATGATAACTGGATAATATACCCATCGTTCGGGGGCAAACTGTTCGACTTAGACGATGTTGAGAGCAACGTGACGGCTATCACCAAAAATAAGCCATATACACTCGTCTTCACCGATGATGACAAGTGGGTGTTATTACCCGATAAAGCCGACTGGTTTCTCAATATTAAGCTCGGCTCCCCCTACGTGTTCACGGATAACAAAGACAACCACCTAAACAAAGTCGTGAACAACGGAACCCTGCTCGTGGCTTACATCCCGACTCAGAGACGTAGCGTAGTCATCAGCCCACTCGCCAGTATGGCAGCCCACATGCTATCGAGTAAAGCGGGCATGCAAAACGTGGTATTGCAGTTGGTGGCTGAATTCGAAGGCGTGGTCAAGATCCTGGAGAGTCTACCGGCGAACTCAACACTTATCATCCAAGTCTACCTAGGGGAACCATCGCGGGATGATGTCGAAATCGTGAAGGGGGTCAAACTCCGGTGGGGGAAACAACAACAGTATCACGTTTGCAACGTTTACGTCGCGGTGGGTGCCGACTCAAAACCAGTCTACAGGGAGTCAATGTGATCGTGGAAGACACTATATCACTAACCAAGATATTCCTACCCGACAACATACACTTCATGGGGGTGCACTTCACCCCTGAACTATTATCAGAAAACCAGTTGGAAATTATATCATAATAGTATTATAGCAATGTCTTGGTTTCACCCCAACACTACACTTAGCGATTTAGGGGACACGGAGGGATTCGACCAGCCTGGTGAGGAAGAAACCTCGTACGTCCTACACTTGAAAGACAACGTGTATACGCGGATGAAAATAGCCGATTTTCTCCTACACAAACACTTTATAGAACCCAAATGGTTGCTCAACATAACCCTCACCACACCTTACGTTTCTTTTCGTAATGGCGGACTTATCACTAGGGATATCGCTGAAATTAAGAACAGTGGTATCTTACTCGGGGGGTTTAAACCCGACGGCCATCAAAATATTAGAATTTCCCAATTCCCAGATCGCCTCGGTTACATGTTAGATGCAACTGAGGATGCACGGTTATCATTTAAGATATACTCTGACCTACCATTTTCTAGGTTTATGGCCCCAGGCTCCACATTAATCATAGATCTCTTTTTACAAAACACCTATATACCCCCATGGACCCTTTTATCTGGGTTGAAACTAGAATTATATAGTGATAATTTAGTTTTATACGGGCCTTGTACTATCATCATACAACGGGACTCGGCCCCCAGTGAGAAGTTGCTGCGCCCTTCAAACGACTGTGCACTTAACATATCCCCAATTTTACCTATTGACCTTTCCTCTATTCACCTACCTGAGAACGTAGGCCTTATAAATTTCAGGTACGTTGATCGGTTATTAACTGAAGCCCAATTAAAATATCTTTCGTAATATATATTATAGGATGGGGCTGTACCCAGGTATAGATGAAGTAGCGAAGACCCTGGAAACCGTAGACGGGTTCCGCTTGAGACAGTTATGCGATGTAAAACGTCAACTAAAACAAGACCGCGACAAGCGGAAAGCACTATATAAGAAGTATCATAGAGCTTTCAATGCCGTGGACGGTGTTGATACCACCCTTATGACAACCAGCATGGGGCTAGGGGTGGCATGTGTTGGGTTGTTAGCTACCATCGTGGCAGCACCTATAGTGCTAGGCCTTGAAATAACAGCTGGGGTGACAGGGGTGTAAGGGTTGGTGCTTAAGTTTGCATCACGCAGACTGCATCGTAAAGCATTGAAGCATGATGAAATTAGAATTCTAGCTGAAGCAAAGCTGAACACGGTAAGCGACCGTATTTCAGCGGCACTCACTGACAACAAAATCTCAGAGGAGGAGTTTCGTTTGATCCTCTCTGAACTCACAAAATATGACAAAATGAAACAAGAGATTCGATCCAAGTCTCGTAAGTCTGCTATAAGCGAGGACGAGAAAAAAAAGTACATAGAACAGGGGATACAAAAAGCCCAGCAAGCCTTTATTACGAACACCAAAGAGATCATAGGCGATTCACATTAAACTGTTTCATCGAGGTCAACGTGACATAGTGTCATAGCGGCACATAGAGCTATACAACATAGATAAAGTGGATGAACCTACCTTGTATTACTTGAGGTATAGGCCAGGCAGAGGACTATTGATCGTAGTGTTACCTCCAGGCAACAGCACGTGATGTGTGGGTGCGCGTGATCTACCCGTTAAATTGACCTACTTCAGTTAAGTCCGCTGTCACGTGATGCGTGGGTGCGCGTGATCTCAGGATAGACCCGTTAAACTGACCTACTTCAGCTAAGTCCGCGGTAGCTCAGTCGGTTGAGTGGTGCGACCCCATTATGTATAGTCTGCGCAAGCTGTACATGTGGAGTTCGTATCCCACCGTCACAACTTCGTGTGATGTGAGGTTCTCTCATGGTGAGAGACACAATTCCCCTTGGGAGGAAGCGCAATACATTTCTATTTCTCCCTTGGGGAATTGTGGCTGCCGGGGGACATTTTACTAATTTTTCATAGTAGGGGTAATGGTAGCAAGAGCTAAGGGTCCGACCAAAGCCTTATTTGGGGAATAAGGCTTTGCAGAGGCTTTTGTTGGACTTGGTCCAGGACAATCATTACCTCTACTACTCGTATTGTAAAACAAATCCGTAACGTTGAAAACATTATTATCACCAGTTCAGCAATTTAATGCATGATCCTCGTGCAATTCATCTGCATAAGGTTTGCAGTTGGTTCCCCCAAGTTAGTGGAGAAATTCATCTTTGACGTAGCCATATATATGTATAACATATAGTGAGTGCTTTAGGTAAGTCCAAACTTTTGATGGGTAGTATATGTTCCACAGACAACATTGAAGGGTATAGAATCAGCTGGTCTGTTGCCTCGTACACTTAACTATTCTTACTTCTGGGTGTGTGTTGTTTATCGCAATAAGTAGTCAGGACAAGAAATGCGTGTTCGGCTTAACACCTTGACTAACTCGGTGGGATACTGGTTAAGATTCACTCACGCATTCACAAGTATTATCTAATATTGGATTGTGACTCACTCACTATATCATAAAGATAAATGTGTTTTAGTACTGTAGCCAGAGTATTACCTCATGAAAAAACTACAACAACGGGACGAATCTTCTTGTATGTGGACTGTCAAGTTGGGAGAATCTTCTTGTATGTGGACTGTGAAGTTGGGGAATCTTGTATGTGGACTGTGAAGTTGGGAGAATCTTCTTGTATGGGGACTGTCAAGTTGGGAGAATCTTGTATGTGGACTGTCAAGTTGGGGAATCTTGTATGTGGACTGTCAAGTTGGGAGAATCTTCTTGTATGTGGACTGTCAAGTTGGGAGAATCTTCTTGTATGTGGACTGTCGAGTTGGGAGAATCTTCTTGTATGTGGACTGTCAAGTTGGGAGAATCTTCTTGTATGTGGACTGTCAAGTTGGGGAATCTTGTATGTGGACTGTCAAGTTGGGAGAATCTTCTTGTATGTGGACTGTCGAGTTGGGAGAATCTTCTTGTATGTGGACTGTCAAGTTGGGGAATCTTGTATGTGGACTGTCAAGTTGGGAGAATTTTCTTGTATGTGGACTGTCAAGTTGGGAGAATCTTCTTGTATGTGGACTGTCAAGTTGGGGGATCTTGTATGTGGACTGTCGAGTTGGGGGAGTATCTTCTTGTATGTGGACTGTCGAGTTGGGAGAATCTTCTTGTATGTGGCTTGTCAAGTTGGAAGAATCTTCTTGTATGTGGACTGTCAAGTTGGGAGAATCTTCTTGTATGTGGCCTGTCAAGTTGGTAGAATCTTCTTGTATGTGGCCTGTCAAGTTGGTAGAATCTTCTTGCATGTGGCCTGTCAAGTTGGAGATCTTGTATGTGGACTGTCAAGTTGGGAGAATCGTCTTGTATGTGGCCTGTCAAGTTGGGGGAGAATCTTCTTGTATGTGGACTGTCAAGTTGGGAGAATCTTCTTGTATGTGGACTGTCAAGATGGGAGAATCTTCTTGTATGTGGACTGTCAAGTTGGGAGAATCTTCATGTATGTGGACAGTCAAGTTGGGAGAATCTTGTATGTGGACTGTCAAGTTGGGAGAATCTTCTTGTATGTGGACTGTCAAGTTGGGAGAATCTTTGTATGTGGACTGTCAAGTTGGGAGAATCTTCTTGTATGTGGACAGTCAAGTTGGGAGAATCTCCTTGTATGTGGACAGTCAAGTTGGGAGAATCTTCTTGTATGTGGACTGTCAAGTTGGGAGAATGTTCTTGTATGTGGACTGTCAAGATGGGAGAATCTTCTTGTATGTGGACTGTCAAGTTGGGAGAATCTTCTTGTATGTGGACTGTCAAGTTGGGAGAATCTTCTTGTATGTGGACTGTCAAGTTGGGAGAATCTTCTTGTATGTGGCCTGTCAAGTTGGTAGAATCTTCTTGTATGTGGCCTGTCAAGTTGGTAGAATCTTCTTGTATGTGGCCTGTCAAGTTGGAGATCTTGTATGTGGACTGTCAAGTTGGGAGAATCGTCTTGTATGTGGCCTGTCAAGTTGGGGGAGAATCTTCTTGTTTTGGGACTGTCAAGTTGGGAGAATCTTCTTGTATGTGGCCTGTCAAGTGGGGAGAATCTCCTTGTATGTGGCCTGTCAACTTGGGAGAATCTTCTTGTATATGGCCTGTCAAGTTGGGAGAATCTTCTTGTATGTGGCCTGTCAAGTTGGGAGAATCTCCTTGTATGTGGACTGTCAAGTTGGGGAATCTTCTTGTATGTGGACTGTCAAGTTGGGGAATCTTCTTGTATGTGGCCTGTCAAGTGGGGAGAATCTCCTTGTAGGTGGACTGTCAAGTTGGGGAATCTTCTTGTATGTGGACTGTCAAGTTGGGAGAATCTCCTTGTATGTGGACTGTCAAGTGGGGAGAATCTCCTTGTGTGTGGCCTGTCAAGTTCGGAGAATCTTCTTGTATATGGACTGTCACGTTGGGACAATCTTCTAGTATTTGGACCGTCAAGTTGGGAGAATCACCTTGCAGTCTCGGTGACAAAATATTAGGAGAGACACTGGCCTAACAGTGCATTCCAGCAATGTACATTTACCAGCTACTGCCATTATCTAGGATGTTTAATGAGATGTACGTATTGTTCCCGGTTCAGCGTCGTGTAACGGAAGAAGCTTAAACAATGACTATGAGCCCACATGACAGTCTGACAATGGACAGGGTGACTGTGTGCACAGTAGCTCTGATCACATCTGTTTATTCGGAGCAAAGTAAGTTTTACCACCTTATCGTTGGAATGTGTAGTATATGGTTACATTCACAAGTCTCTGTTTTCGTTTGGGTTCGTTTTCCATGGCGCTTTTGTAATAATTTTCTTAAAAGTGTAAAGGATTTCTATGTTACTGAGTAAAATCTACATGCATATCTTTGAAAACAGTTGTTTATAACATGTCGTATTTGTTTTACTTAATCCTAACATTCCATGTCCTGTTAGTTGTTCAATTATACTTATACTTATACTTATACTTATACTTATTCTTGTTGTTAGCCAGCTTACATCCAAAATGGTGGGAGGGCATTGTCTGCGTGCCCGTTCATCGCAACAGTTAGCCCAGTCAAGTTGTAGCCTGAATTAGCAGCTGCTTACGAAAGTCTGATTGTGTGGCTTTGCTAGCTAAATTACTTTTATGAACCGAAATATCTCGTTATGTCAATTATTTGTTCTTTTATACCGTATTCAGAGTATATACTTGTCCAATAGGTCTTAGACTCTTTAGCAACCCATAAATATCGCAAACGGCGACTAACGGTATCGGGTGGTCAGGTAAGCGTGTATACGAACCAGTGCTTGGTTCACTGCCGTCAACCGTCAACCAGTTGATGGAATTGACCACCCTAACCATTATGTCGCATCCTAGCAGCATTGGCTGTTTGGGACCAACTGTAGTCCGACATCCCGCCTGTTTGCAACCAATGGTTGTCGCAAGGATACACCTAATGGTGTTCTCGCTAGACACCACCGACGTGTGCTCACGTCTTTGTCTGGTCACGTGTCATGGTTGTATTTTCAGTTGTCATAATCCAACCAGAAGTTGCACCTATAAAGATAATAGAGAAAACTCCAGCCAAAATCTCTTGTACGATAAAGGATGGTCAAGACAATTCGACATGGAGGTACAAATGGTCCATCGGGACACGAACTATCGGCTGGAAATCAAGCATCTTACTGACAGCAAACAGACACAGGTTCGACGATGGAAATCTGATGTGCACTGTACGGAATAGCTCCAATGTCGAATACGGGAGTGCAGCTGTAGCCGTTAGTGTACAGTGTGAGTACAACGCCTGAATACACGTAAAGTACACTACGGTCATGACGAAGACAGTCTTAACAAACGGACGGATATAACGAACTTATTGTCCATGCCAAGTGCTGTATATTTCATTCTCAATGTAGATAACTACGGTTATGACAAACACTGTCTTAACAAACTGACGGATATAACGAACTTATTGTCCATGCCAAGTGCTGTATATTTTATTCTCAATGTAGACAACTACGGTTATGACGAACACAGTCTTAACAAACTGACGAATACGACGAAATTCTTGTCCATGCCAAGTGCTGTATATTTCATTCTCAATGTAGACAACTACGGTTATGACGAACACAGTATTAACAAACTGACGGATATAACGAACTTATTGTCCATGCCACGTCCTGTATATTTCAATCGAAATGTAGATAACTACGGTTATAACGAACTATCTGAACGTCGTGATGCTTTTACGTTCGTCACAACCGTACTTTACTGTATGTATGTTGTATCAGGCATCAGTTCTCTTAGGTCGGGACATTTGATATTCAGGAGATGGGGAAGGGAGGGAGGGAGTAGGCCCAGAGAATGGGTTGGGGTTTTGCTGAACTCATGAAAATACCATTTTAATCGAAATTCAAAATAACTGAATAAGAAAACAAGAATCGATCAATTTCACAATGATTGTTCTTTCAAAGCACACATTTTCCAGGTTTTTACGTCCTGCAAAATAGTTCCAGGAGGTATGTATAGCGATAAATAACACGACAAGACTAGCAAATGGGCCATGGAATAGCCACTGTGTGACGTCTGTCTTATGTACACATCGTCACAATCAGAGTCGTATTTTGTGCTGAAAATATTCATTATAGAGCAAACATTATGGATAACAACTTCTATGATTCATGAGTGCGACGTTTCGATACAGATTCTTGTACCGTGGTCAAGTATAAAATGAAATGAAATGAAAATAGTCATTGCTTCCATGAAGGTAAACTTCCGACTGCTCTACAAATCTATGAGTTTTCTGTGTGTTTAGATCCTCCCGAAGCGTTCAGTGAGAGGACGCATCGTGTGTTCAGGGGTGAGGACGTCAGCATCTGTCATGGGATTAGTGGCAACCCGCCCCCTTGGATCTTTAAGTGGAAGAAGGTCGGTGTGACGTCACAGTGGATAACCTCTGACTGTCGTCTTCGTCAAGTGAATCAATCCCATTCTGGAGATTATCTGGTTGTCATGAAGAACACAATGTTTGACAACATTCGCAAAGAAGGAAGGATTGGCACAGGCGTGCAGCTTGTCCGCTTGCTGGTATCATGTAAGTATACTTTTATTATCAACTTTTTCCCAAAAAATAGAAAGAGGTTATACGGACGACAAAACATCCAAATAAATCAAAACTGTCAATATGTTCCCCTTGGAATGATTTGAGCAACCCCAGTAAAGGCTCGAGATTATTTTATGATAATTTCATATCTGAAAATGATAAATGGGACAGCGAATTGAGTGATCATTTAAATGGGAAGACTATATTTCTACAAAGTATAGACAATCTAACAAAGACACAAAACTCCTAGAGTTTCAATATAAATTTATATATGAAGCCATTTATACAAAAAGGGAGTTGTTTAAAATGAAACTGGTTGATAATGATTAATGTTCATCGTGTGGTTCGGTAAGTGAGAACACCTATCATGTATATATTGAATTCCAACTATTAGACTGTTTGGGAAGAATTCATCAATCTTGTTTATAGACTTTTGAACATAACATATGAACTTTCTACTATAGATATTTTACTTTGAGGGCAATAGCAACCACCAACTCAACCATTTCATTGGCCAAACGCCATATATATGTAATGAACATAAAGGGTTTGTTTTAAAAGATGTGTATCAAATTAGAATATTTGTTCGAAAAATATCAACACGGATTCATTTAATAGAAAATGGGATGTAATATCACCAGCATTGTCACTGTTATGACTTCATCTTACGAGGATGCAGTACTTGCATGTCATTGTGATTCCACGATCTTGCATATAGTCTACTAGTCCCAGCACATAATGTAATTGAATATATGAGTGTTTCTTTCTATGCATGTTGTCTCTCACTTTAAGCTCGCATAATTGACGTTTGTATCCAACTGAAGTGAATAAAACATTTTTTTTTTCTAAAGACAAAAACAAAACAAAAAAGTTTACTTTTATCTTTCCTTCGCATCCTCATGACATTATGTCCATGAATTCAAGGTGCCTTGTCTAGACATGATATTTACAGCTGGCGTGATGTATACATCGTCTGCAGCGTAAAACAGCATTCACTCTGCTGTTAGTATTTGAATCGTTGATTGGGTTAAGTGGGGCATTAGGCAATATGCTCCAGCTCATTTGGCGATAGGGGCGGTGAGGTAGCCTAGTGGTTAAAGCGTTCGCTTGACACGTTGAAGATCCGGATTCGATTCCCAAACATGGGTACATCATGTGAAGTCCATTTCTGATGGTCTTCCGCAACCCTTACTTGCCCTTAGAGGCGACTAACGGGATCGGGAGGTCAGACTCGCTGACTTGACTGCTAGATGCCCTCGTATCTTACTTGCGTAGATCTATGTTCAGGGTGTTAATCACAAGATTGTCTGGTCCAGACACAATTATTACAGAGAGCGTCATATGCCGACGATAGGCGACGATAGCTGGCATTGTATTTTACAATTAGGTGTGTCTAAACGTGTGCACGCTTCTGATTGAGAGTGTCATTTCTTATGTAATAGTGATTCTCTTAACCAGATAGCGGCGGTCCCTGACATTGCTGGAACATTGCTAACAGCGGCGTAAAACCATGCTCACTCACTCACTCATTAAGTGACCATTGTCAGGCGACTAACAGACTCGCTGATCTGGGTGACACATATCGTATCCCAATTCCGTTTTATCATGATGTTGATCACTAGACTGTCTGGTCTAGGCTCGATTATTTACAGATCGTCGCCATATAGCTGGAATATTGCTGGGTGTGGCGTTAAAACTAGAAACAAACCAACAAAGCCTATTGGTGATGGAATTGTGTTTGTTGAAGATGGTGCTCGGGTGATGTGCCCCAGTAACTACACAGCTGTAGAGAACACCACGGCTGTGTTGGAGTGTCACGTAGATGCTTACCCCCGTGCAGTCATCACCTGGTCCAGAGAAGGAAGCCATGAAGCGCTACCACAGACTGGTTCCTCCCTCCGTATCCCCCCATGCACAGCTGTCGGACGGAGGCAACTACACCTGTACGGCGTCCAACACCATCAGAGGCTACACCGGCAGAAGCGACAAGAAGGAGGATTCATGCATCATACATGTCATCGTCAAAGGTAGGAAACGCTTCTGATGTGTGAGTGAGTGAGTGAGTGATTAAAACAAGTTGTAATTATTCAATTCAATCACGATCTGTCAACAGGAAGAAATGCCGAAGTGTTTCAGTTTGTAACAATTACCAGTTTGCTGAAACCCAGAAGCACGGGTACACTGCTGACAAACCTAGTCACGGAGATGACGGGGATTCGGACCCACAATCTTTGGTTTCTGCCATGCGTTTAAAGCATTTAAATATTTACCATGTTGATTGAATTTATAGGAACGGTTTTGCTGCTGAAAAATCTAGGAACACAGATTCGAACTCACCACCATAAATTTTTAGAACGCTTTAGAGTGGGTGAGTTTAGTTTTACACCGCTTTTTCGCAATATTCTAGAAATATCACGGCGGTTGACACTAAAAATAGGCTGCAAACATTGTAGTCATGTGGGGAATCGAACCCGGGTTTCCGGTGTGACGAGGGAACGCCTTAACCACTAGGCTAACCCACCGGCCCTTAGTTCAGAATCGAATGCTGGGTTCTAGTATTCGTATTATTGCCAACTATGCAACTATTCACTGGGTCACGTGAATGCGTTATTTGTTCCTTGATGATCTCAGTGCACTATTAATTTTAAGAACGCGAATTCCGCCGTTGATAGGCACGTGCACAGTTCGTTCCCTCGGCAGAGCAGTGTATGAAGTCACGATACGGTTCATGTTAATCAAGCACGTACGTGCACGTGCACACACACAGGTACACATGCACGCACGCATGAACAACACACATTACCTGCACTAGTTATATAAGTTACCCATTCTTCACTTTATCGTAAAATCTCGAGATCAACTTCTGTACATCAAGTCCAAATTTACCAAAACGTATATATAGCAGTAATCTTTGTAATATTCCTATAAACTGTATATCTTGTTTTCTTGTACAGTCAATATGTCAGACGGAGCAGCCCCAGAAACAACTTCCATCTTTGCTCTCTACAAAATCCACTTCATAGCTGCTAGCCTTGGGACCGTCGTTCTCGCTTTTGTCGTCGTGGATGTTGTCAAATGCATTCGGAGGAGGTCTAAATGTAAAGGTACGTTATTGTCAAGTAGTGGGTGAGTGAGTGAGTGAAGTTGTGGATGATTGAGTTAGTAAGTGTGAGGGTTGGTGAGTGATTGAACGGGTGGGTGAGTGAGAGAGTTGTTGAGTGATTGAACGGGTGGGTGAGTGAGAGATTTGGTGAGTGAGAGAGTTGTTGAGTGATTGAACGGGTGGGTGAGTGAGAGAGTTGTTGAGTGATTGAACAGGTGGGTGAGTGAGAGAGTTGGTGAGTGAGTAAGTAAGCGTTGGTGAGTAAGTGAGTGAGTGAAAATGTTTTGACACGGCGTTGTTGTTTGATGTGGATTGACACGGTGTTGTCGTTTGATGTGGAATGGAAGCCCGAGGAGTGAGTGAGTGAGTTGGTGAAGAAATTAGGGAAAGGATTTAGTCCCGGCGTGTCTGTTTGATGTGGATGGGAAGCTCAAAGAGAAGCAGATCCACAAAGTGTTTAACCTATGACGGCTACGAATATCCAGTACTGAGAGAGTGAGTTGGGTTCCAAACCGCTTTGAACAGTAATCCGGTTACATCAGAAGGGCGCCTTCTATAACACACAACTGTCAAGCACCTGCATCAGTATCCTTGCTACAGTTGCTCCATCACGTGTGTTTCAGGGGATGATGTACCCGTGGAAGTGGATGGGAGCGGTGACAGTCACAGCATACACACCGGTGGAAATAACAAGAAAGACTACGATAAACCCAGCCCTGACAACCAGGTGCAGCATCACTACAGGCAGGTCCACGGGGACGGTGATGGTTGCTATGGTAACGTGGTAACAGCTGACACCCAACATTATGGAAATGTGTTCACTGAGAACCAGTCAGGTTACTATGGCAATGTTACTGTACAGGAAGGCGAGAATACGTGTTATTATGGTAACGATGACGTTGTCATGGAAACTCATTCTAATGAATATGTAAATTTGTAAATCAGCAAATTCGATGTGTCGACATTGGACTTGCATTCGTGAAAAGGGAAGCATTTGGGAGGGTTGTTCTGTTTATTTTCTGTTACTTTCCTATTTATACTGTTAACAAATGTGTTTATTCCGAACATTACACACAGAACACCACTGTCTCCGTGAGCGGGTTTCCCAACACGGAATTTCTGAGGGATCGTTGATTATTAAATAATATAGGAAGGGTATTTTTATTAATGTTAGACAATGGCATTGTTGATCCTATATAACATGTCTCATGTGTGAGACATCTGGAGATTTATAGTTCAAATGAATACGATCCTGTACAGTGCGTTGGCAGTTTCCAGAAAACTTGTAAACCTCGTCATCACTTAAAAGGAAGCAACGATTCATCAGGTCAGCATTATATGACCTGGCAACAATACTCGGAAATAGGTCATTAGATTTACTGTGGGATGCGAAAACAGAAAACACCATGATGGGCAGATAGAGATGCAAGTGTATAGTCGGATGTTTCCATTTGACATTGCAACATTTCTTGTACTTTCATGTGTGTTTCCTCATGTTTATAGACATTTATTAAACAGAACATGGTGTGTATATTGACAAACGAGTGGACCTAATGAGTGTGTTGTCTATTATGGCTTTACATCATCGTCTTACGCCTAAATTTAAAATGGTTTTAAAGCTTCTTTTCAAAATGTATCGTCACCCTTTTTATGCATGTCGTAAGAGACGGCTAATCGATTGTGTGGTTACGTTCAATAACCATTGCATGCTATGGCATCGTATCTTAAGTGCGAAAGTCGATGCTTGCTCGCTCACTCACGTTGTCTTGTGTGTGTTTTAGTTTGAAAACCATTTGATAGTGAATGACATTTTTGAGAATTGGACAAATCGCAAAAATATCATGACGCAAAAAATTCGTGATTTACAGTATGTTGATGAATATGTGATGAATATATATTTAAAGGAGAAAAATAGCGTATACACACGAGTGAAGATTTGTCTATGTCTTCGTTTCTATGTGCGTGCTTTCAGTGTATTCGATGTATATTATTGCCTTCGTGTTTTGTGATAGATATATGAATCTATGTACCCCTGCTTATTACTGATGATGAATTGCACATCACATTTCACTCAACACGCGAGGAGCCGCTGACCTATCTGTACAGAATAAAGCTATAAACCAACTCCTCTGTTCTTCTTTCTCCGTACCCTGCTTTGAATCAGTCATATTGCGGTCTGGCACTCATGGGATGAAAGCCCGAAGTTACACAGGTGAGCTTCACAAGATGGGTGATGGAGATGACAAACGTAGAAACACAATCGGTGATAATCACAGAGTACAACCGCCCCGTGAGTTTCCAGGTTAGAGTAGGGTCGCAAGATGTCCTGCTTACCGGTAGAGGCGACATGGGTTGGTGGTCTGACTTGTAGGCTCTCTCCAACGGTGTGGATTGTTTGTCAGATTGTCAATCACTAGTTTTTCCAGGCCACCATTGATTACATGCCGAACAAATTGAACCAATGATCATCGGTGGCTGGAGCCACACAGACCTGTATACCTTTGTCTCAGGTTATTTGATTGTTCGCGTATATTTTCCATTCAGTGACAAAATTATGGAAATGTTCTGACAACGTAGTTCCCTGACAAGAAGTGAGTGAGGGAGTCTATTTTTACGCCGCACTCGACAATATTCCAGCTATATGGCAGCGGTCTGTACATAATCGAGTGATGGTCTGGGTCGTACATCCGTGTTCATTTTACGTCCTTCCATGGATGAAGTGATGGACTAGGACGTACATCCATGTTCATCTTACGTCCCTCTATGAATGACGTAATGGTCTAGGACGTAAATCCATGTTCATCTTACGTTCTTCCATGGATGAAGTGATGCTCTAGGACGTACATCCATGTTCATCTTACGTCCTTCCATGGATGAAGTGATGGTCTAGGACGTACATCCGTGTCCATTTTACGTCCTTCCATGGATGAAATGATGGTCTAGGATGTACATCCATGTTCATCTTACGTCCTTCCATGGATGAAGTGATGGTCTAGGACGTACATCCATGTTCATCTTACGTCTTTCTATGGATGAAGTGATGGTCTAGGACGTACATCCATGTTCATCTTACGTCTTTCTATGGATAAAGTGATGGTCTAGGACGTACATCCACTATCATATTACGTCCTTCTATGAATGAAGTGATGGTCTAGGACGTACATCCATGTTCATCTTACGTCTTTCTATGGATGAAGTGATGGTCTAGGACGTACATCCATGTTCATCTTACGTTCTTCCATGGATGAAGTGATGGTCTAGGGCGTACATCCATGTTCATCTTACGTTCTTCCATGGATGAAGTGATGGTCTAGGACGTACATCCATGTTCATCTTACGTTCTTCCATAGATGAAATGATGGTCTAGGACGTACATCCGTGTTCATCTTGCGTCCTTCTATGGATGAAGTGATGGTCTAGGACGTAAATCCATGTTCATCTTACGTTCTTCCATGGATGAAGTGATGGTCTAGGACGTACATCCGTGTCCATTTTACGTCCTTCCATGGATGAAGTGATGGTCTAGGACGTACATCCATGTTCATATTACGTCCCTCTATGGATGAAGTGATGGTCTAGGGCGTACATCCATGTTCATCGTACGTCCTTCTATTAATGAAGTGATGGTCTAGGACGTACATCCATGTTCATCTTACGTCTTTCTATGGATGAAGTGATGGTCTAGGACGTACATCCATGTTCATCTTACGTCTTTCTATGGATAAAGTGATGGTCTAGGACGTACATCCACTATCATATTACGTCCTTCTATGAATGAAGTGATGGTCTAGGACGTACATCCATGTTCATCTTACGTCTTTCTATGGATGAAGTGATGGTCTAGGACGTACATCCATGTTCATCTTACGTTCTTCCATGGATGAAGTGATGGTCTAGGGCGTACATCCATGTTCATCTTACGTTCTTCCATGGATGAAGTGATGGTCTAGGACGTACATCCATGTTCATCTTACGTTCTTCCATAGATGAAATGATGGTCTAGGACGTACATCCGTGTTCATCTTGCGTCCTTCTATGGATGAAGTGATGGTCTAGGACGTAAATCCATGTTCATCTTACGTTCTTCCATGGATGAAGTGATGGTCTAGGACGTACATCCGTGTCCATTTTACGTCCTTCCATGGATGAAGTGATGGTCTAGGACGTACATCCATGTTCATATTACGTCCCTCTATGGATGAAGTGATGGTCTAGGGCGTACATCCATGTTCATCGTACGTCCTTCTATTAATGAAGTGATGGTCTAGGACGTACATCCATGTTCATCTTACGTCTTTCTATGGATGAAGTGATGGTCTAGGACGTAAATCCATGTTCATCTTACGTTCTTCCATGGATGAAGTGATGGTCTAGGACGTACATCCGTGTCCATTTTACGTCCTTCCATGGATGAAGTGATGGTCTAGGACGTACATCCATGTTCATCTTACGTCCTTCTATTAATGAAGTGATGGTCTAGGACGTACATCCATGTTCATCTTACGTCTTTCCATGGATGAAGTGATTGTCTAGGACGTACATCCATGTTCATCTTACGTTCTTCCATGGGTGAAGTGATGGTCTAGGACGTACATCCATGTTCATCTTACGTTCTTCCATGGATGAAGTGATGGTCTAGGACGTACATCCATGTTCATCTTACGTTCTTCCATAGATGAAGTGATGGTCTAGGATGTAAATCTATGTTCATCTTACGTCTTTCTATGAATGAAGTGATGGTCTAGGACGTACATCCGTGTTCATCTTACGTCCGTCTATGGATGTAGTGATGGTCTAGGACGTACATCCAGGTTCATCTTACGTCCTTCCGTGGATGAAGTGATGGTCTAGGACGTACATCCATGTTCATCTTACGTCCTTCCATGGATGAAGTGATGGTCTAGGACGTACATCCATGTTCATTTTACGTTCTTTCATGGAAGAAGTGATGGTCTAGGACGTACATCCATGTTCATCTTACGTCCTTCCATTGTTTCCAAACAATCTATATGACGTCGTGTGTATAGGGGAAAATATAGCCCATCATATCTCTATTATACAAAAACCTTTTTCCCTGTATGAAAATGAACTAATTACATTGTTTTTTCTGTCCATCCGCACAATATTGTTCTTATATGTTTGTACTCTTGGCTATGTAGCTTCAAATACTGAATAAACTTCTTCTTCTTCTTCTTTTCCTATTTTTGTATAATGTTCGTACCTCTTCCATGGCGTCCTCCACCGTAATGTTGTGCAATATTACCTGACACAATGTACCCTATTATGCTGATATAATTATGGAATATATCCAGCATACTTGCCTTAACTATACAGTCAACATTGATTAAATGATCACACTATATGCAAACATAATCTGCAGCTATGTACATGATGATCAGCAGTTAGAAGAAACAACATTCCACTAAGCTAGAGCTAATGTAGAGTCACGTCGTCTGTGTGTTTAACAGCACACAGTCATCATCCGAAATTGTAGTGCATCGAATCTTGCCAACAAACCTAATCTTGTTTAAGAAGGGATATGTAGAGAATAAGTTATATCTTAAGTTTGTAAAACTGCACCAGAAAGCGGATTTCATATCTCTTACACGGTCCAGTATCTAGAATTATATGGAATCAAATTGTCAACTGGATAAGAACAAGAAACGATATCACATTAAGAAAATCATATTTGTATTTTCTGAAAAAGGAACGGTGTCCTTTATCTCCTGATAACAGTTGTCAAATTTACTCTTTTTAAAATACGAATATATACATGTGCTCCAGGTTTCGATATGATCAGAAAGGAAATAGGTAAAGTTGACAATATCGAGAGAACACATGCCATCTCTTCTTGTAATTTTACCAAATTTGTTGGATTCTGGTCTGATTGCCATCAATAATTGTTTGATCGATATTAACATAGAATTTGCTTATTTTGTTGCAATGCCATCTGTTATAATATGCTCGTCAATATGAGATATCGCCAAGATCTTTCTACAAACGCATAGGTTATATTGATGCCATGATTTTGTACCTAAAAAGATGAATAAAAACATATGTGTATTTTTGTACGTCTTCCTAATGCAAACAAACAATACATTACTGTTTTGTAATCGCCCATTCAGGGAGGAATTATATCCAATTTTTAAAAGAAAACAACATTTTTCATGATATGAGACTCCGTGTAACATTACTGTAAAATGTATTTTTTTTATAGACCCCCCTCCGCCCCTGATGTCTGGAACAATTACAGTGTTTGAAGCAAGTTCTGCCAACGTCTCCTTCCCGTTCTCCTCTAATCCTCCACCTCTTCTGTATAAGTGGAGGAAGGAAGGTCTTGACTCCAACTTTACCACGACCTTGAATCCACCTGCCATAACCAACATTGGGCGGTCAGATGCCGGGACCTATGTCATCACAGCTACAAATATAATGAATGATTCACAAGCTGGTCTAGTGGAAGGTCATGGGATGCACCTTATTTCATTAAATGTACTTTGTAAGTATATTTGGTCTGTTAGGTGAACTTGAGGGACACCGGAAATGTGGGTCAGAATTCCCCAGTATGTCATTGTTCATTCCCAGACAACAGCTGGTGCGCGGGCAGTGAGTGTATAAGTTTTTTAGAAATAAGTATGACGTTCAACAGATAGCATGGATATTCCTCTAAAGTAATCAATAAAATAGAAATCGAACCCTTATAGTTTAACGGCCAACCCCTTCCGACAGGAGTAATCATTCAAATTGTTTTATGTTGTTTTATTACAGAGAATAAATCAGATTGCCCATCGAACAGATCAGATGACAGGTTCATTACTAAATAATGGTGGTTTTTGTATAGTCTGTTGTTCATGGAGACTGTATAGTACTAGAGTTACTGTATCATGTTTCAGATCCTCCTGAAGTGTTCTGTCAGAAAGATGTAAGTGTGCTTCTCAAATCATCGTTTGACCTGACATGCGCAGTGTCAGCGTCCCCCCTCCCTGATGATGTGACGTGGACAAGGGTATCTACCCCAGCCTCCACAATCTCCCCCGAGCCTGCACACAAATATTCCACCCCGTCTGGATCTGGTGAAATGGAGATCATTCAGGTTGATAAGTACAGGGGATGATTTGGAGGGACGATTTTCTCGGATGCCATCTAATACATCCATAAACTCAGGAACAGAAGTGAACGAACTAAGCTCTATGAATACATCACGTCTGGGTGGGATTCCAGAGTCTTCATGTGAAGTGAAATGTGGATTAAGTGCAGAGAAGGGCAAAACTGGAACATACCACGTCCAAAGTGCTGCCACTACTGATGCTGGGGTCTATCAGTGTACAGCTGTGAACACCGTGGAAGGCACAGGAAGGGGGGAAACAGGGACAGGATCATGTATAACGAACGTGAATGTTCTGTGTGAGTGATGACTCCACATATTATACAGAAATAATTTATGTTTCAATATTTGATATGGTATATTATTTACCATGTTTCACTATTGCAATGTAGAAATGATCAATGCAAACAACTTCGTTCAAACATGAGCCACAGGTCTTCCAAACAATGCCAGCAGCAAATATGACTCTTGCTCACACGTTGTTTGACTGAGGTTGTAGTCGTCAAGGTCTAAGGAAAGCATTCTGGTACACACGTGAAGATTTCAAAACCTGGCATCGGTGACAAAAATATTGTCCCGTACAATTCTCAATATTGACTTCCTGGTGTCATCAAGGTTTAATAGTGACTCCTCATATTCAACTTTTGCTATAGCCGGAATCATGCAATCGACCCACATTAAGAGATTGGTTATCAATAAGGAAAAGGTTTCTTCGTGTGAAGCATAAGTTGCGTTGCATCGGATAATATGTTTGTTACCGATGCGTCAGGTTTTCAAACCTTAGTTTCTGCTGAACTTGTTCCTTCTTACAATTTAGCCTTTTTTTATCTTGTATTGTCATATAGCTAAAGGTTTTAGAGTTCATTACTAGTTTTAAACTGAAATCTGTGATAAACTAGTTATTTTACTGTCCCTTGGTGACAGGGTGTTATCATTTACTTTTACTTATTATGAAATTATAACTTGCTTTTAGTCACGATATGGTTGAAATATTGCCCATGTCACTTAAAATCGTAACTCACTCACTCCTACACTTGATCCATTTAGATCCCCCGCCGCCTTTGCTGAGGGGTACAAAGGACATGTTCGAGGGCACCAGCGTTATCCTGAGTTTGCCTCCAGGTTCCAACCCTCCTCCACACGTCTATACATGGAAGAGGGAAGTGGATGAGCGAGAGGTGTCCTCTATCACTCCCCTATTATATCGAACATCAGGAGATCTGATGCTGGAAGTATATCGTCCCAGTCACTAACTCCATGAACCTGACTTCTGGTGGACTGACGGAGGGACACGGGGTCCAGCTGGTGCAGATTAATGTTCTATGTACGTTATCAACTCATGTTCCTTGTGTGACTACCGTATGTAGGATGAAGTTGGTATCTCTCTTTGACCCATTCTTTATGAATAGTGGGTGCTTCGATGGCTGACGGGGCGGTGGGGTAGCCTAATGGATAAAGCGTTGGCTCGTCACGCCGAAGACCCGGGTTCAAATCCCCACATGGGCACAATGTGTGAAGCCCATTTCTGGTGTCCCCCGCCGTGATGTTGCTGGAATATTGCTAAAAGCGGCGTAAAACCAAACTCAGTTAGTCAGTCAGTAGATGGCTGACAGGGTTAGGTTGCTGACTTTGTGTGGTGGCGAGTAGGTGTATTACACTGAGAGTGTGGACTCATCCCCAAAACGTACTAGAATCTGTACTTTACAGAGAAAAGTGTATTCCCAAATGCAATATTTGTCGTACATAAGAAGTGGTTTGTGTCTCATTATGAAATTTTGGATACGTTGGTTCCAGATTTTTTATGAATAGTACGGATGACACTACTTTATTGGTGTATTGGTACCATGCTGCTTGTTTGCTCTTTCATCAACACTGAACCTTCAGTACAATCTCTGCAGATTCTCCGGTGCTGTCTTGCCAGGATGAGTACGTTGTCATCCAGAACACATCTGTCAGCCTCGGGTGTTCTGTAGACGCCTTCCCGGCCCCCAGTATCATACGTTGGCGACGGGAAGCATCAGACAAGACGTTAATGACCGGAGACAAGTTCACAATCGACGATGTCCAAATGACAGACGGTGGTGTGTATATATGCACAGCTACAAACAGTATGACAGATTATAATGGTCAAATCCGGACAGGGACTGGATCATGCGCAGTCCGAGTGAAAGTCGTGTGTGAGTACTGTCATACATCATTGTATATGCTTCGATTTTAAGGTTGAAATTACTTCAGTTGATCAGTAATCTGGTAAGAGGAAAAGAGGTCACAAGTGAAGTACACATAAGTACACCTGCCTGTTCTAGATACCATTATGTCAATGTAAGATGGATATTATGCCACAGGTCGACATGCATATCGATAGGGAATAATTGTCAATTTCGTGTATACTTATGATGATTCCGAGACCTTCTTATGCAGTGTATGACACACTCAGTGTTGCCTTGAGATTCAGAAGGGAGAATGTCCATTGGAAACGTGATGGGAGTGACAGAGAGATGTATGATGATAATAGACATAAAGTGTTATGGTGGTGGAAGTATGCATTAACCAGATACTGTTCCCAATAGAATATAGCACCTATGCTAAATTCATCACATGTCACCGGGCAACTAGAGAAAACTGTATGGATATAGGTGCAAGGTCTTGAGGGGTTAAGGGTACACTCGTCGAAGTCGCTGGATTCGGCTGAGCAGAGATGCGCCACCTTGGCCCCTCCTGCCACTGAATATTGTGTTATAGTGACTAATTCAGACTTAATTGTAATTATTCAATCTGCAGTCTTAATTCTTATCACTACCACAGGGTGCATTGTCTTGTTAACCACCCTGTACCACTCTGTCACTGTCATTAATTATAATTGTATATGGCATTTTTTGCCCTAATTGGTCATCCCCCTTGGCCGTGTCTGCCATCACATCAACTGGTCAAGGAAGTGCTATTGTTTTTCTATCTGTCTATTGTTGAGTCGTCATCTGTCCATTGTTGTCCAAAACTGTATATATATGCTCACATCTACATGTAGAGTGAAAAACAGAGGACGACTCATGTATTCCGACTGCCCGTGTAGGAACGACCACGAGCAGGATAATGCCGCTCGTAGGAAACGCCCTGGGGTTGAGCAGGTACTCCGCTCACCTCTTTTATGTCTTGTGTATTTGTTTGTCATGTAACTAAACAAGTTTGAGCTCAACGCATTCCTTCGTCTTGTCAACGTATTGTACGTACACTTCATCTTAAACATGAGCTAATTCCCCAGTCGACGCGTATACCACGCGTTGACAATTGTGTCTAGGTTTCTCAGCATTATACCGGTGCTCATAGCTTCACCAAGGCGGTAGACGTCTATGACCCGAATCACTTTCCACCATGAAATCTCACAAGCCTTGCCTATGGTCTCCAGCATGGTGATCTACCTAAAACTATATGTAGCCCATTTCTAAACTGCATTCTTCTATTTAATAATATCGTTTTATGATAGCATGCTAGTTTTAACTTTAATATCTGTGATATAATAGTAGTTTTACTGTTCTTCGACAACAGACTTTTAATTTCTAATTTTATTTATCTATAATATAACAATAAATTGTCCCCGTCACGATATGGCTGAAATATTGCCGATGTGACGATAAATGCTCACTCACTCACTCACTCACTCACTCACTCACTCACTATCAACCCAATTTCAGAAACTTGGACATTGTGAAGAAAGATACTGATGTCCACATTTTACAAATTCTAAATAGCACGTGACACAGTGGGATGTCCAAATCATACCCCAAAAAGCCATCATCCCCTTCAACTTCACATCATCTTCATCATCGGCGGTGTTTTCGTGGTCGTCCTAGTGGTAACGGTCATCTGCATGAAGAGGCGATCCAAGGAAAAAGTCATCACGGTGTGTATAGAAATATGTTCGATTTCTTAAATATAACTGAAATCAGTGTAGAAAACAGGTGCAAGCTTATAGTAAGAGCAGATAAATTACAGTGTTCTTACACTGTGGAGCGTTTAGTAGCTGTTGCGATGGCAATACCAAGCATATAAACACAGCTCTGGTATTTGATTATCGGCACACATGACGTGTTATCCGGTGGTGATACAATAGTATTTTCTTACAGATAAATACACACGTAGTCTCAAAATAACTACAACAAATTTCGACTTTTTCATTGCAGATGAAAGCGTCGAGAAGAAGTAAGTATGACTGCCTTTCATGAATGAGAACCTGGCATTTGATGTGAGAATATTATTATTTTTCTTGTTCTACTTAAGCTCCAATCAATACATCGTTGACAGCAAAATTGAATCTACTAAAATTGTTTCTGTGATTACAGCAGAGACATACCACTGACTGAAATCCCGGGAGGTAAATATAAGCGTCTTTTTTCCAAATGTAATCACTTTATGGCATTGGTCCGTTGATACTTTAGGGTGATATTCGTGATGAACGGGTCACAGCGGTTCCAGCAGTTAAACCGCTGTGTGCAGTGCCATTACTGCAACCTTTCATGCTATATCAGACTCGCAGGCCGTGATATAACCGAGATACTGTTAAGCGGCGTTCACCAACACTCTTGAATATACCGTTCTGGCATGATGCAATACAAGGCAAACAAGAGGTTAACATTATGAACAACGACCTACAGTACGCTGACAAACATTCCAGCGGAGTGTATGTCGTTCAGTTCCCACAAAAGCTGGGGTGTTGTAAGATATTCTTTCTCTGTCAGCATCGGTATTTTGTCGTCGATTATAAGGTCTTGAAGTGGGTTATTCAGTCATATATCTTGGCATGAGTGAACGAAGGGTTCTCGTCATGATAACTGTTATGTTTTTCTCTCAACAGGGACCACGCTTATCTACAAACAGATGTGATTGTGTGGATCTTACTTCTGACACCGATTGTCAACAGACGCAACTGTGTACTCACTTGATTCCATACAACTATAGTTCCATGTTTGATAACGTTCAGCTGCTCACATTTCACGCATTACACAGTTACATGTGTTGTATTTGGAATTAGCCATCTAACCCACTCAGCCAACGAGGCTTCCACAATAAACATTTGCCAGGGGGGTACACAAAGTATGGGATCTAGACTACCAAGTGTCCGGCTTTCAGTTTAGTGGAAGTCGCTGTGGCAGAGTGGGTCAGGTGCCTGACTTAGAGTGTTGGTGCGAATCCCACTGACCACATCTGACCACTTTCTAAATGATCTTGTGAATTCACCCATTACACAGTTGCAGACTCAGCTCAGAGATGTGTTGTCTCTGATGATAACTGTTTCATTGTAATGAATCCTGTCTAAAGAGTCTATATTATTTTATTTGAATCAAAGGCGGTGGGGTAGCCTAGTGGTTAAAGCGTTGGCTCGTCACGCCGAAGACCCGGGTTCGATTCCCCACATGGGTATAATGTGTGAAGCCCATTTCTGGTGTCCCCCGCCGTGATGTTGCTGGAATATTGCTAAAAGCGGCGTAAAACCAAAACTCAGTCAGTCAGTCAGTCAGTCAGTATTGGAGTCATTTACCGGACACTCCACTGGGTGTACAAATGAACCATTAGCCACACCCTGCACGGAAGTGTACATGTACATGAAGTAGAATCAGAAACAAATCTTATATCGATGACTATCAACCGAAATAAACCCACGATTACGTCATCCGTTTCACGTCTTGCGCATTTTGCCTATATATGATGCATAGAGTACTTCCTCCAAAAAACGTTTTTTACACCTGATATAATCCCCATCATCGTTCACAACACATGTTTTAATGGGAGGACACTTTCTTAGAAGTGGCGGCTGACTTGGTGTGCTGCGATTAGGTGCCTGATTCTGGGAGTGTGGGTTCGAATCCCGGGAGGGACTCAACCAAACAAACGTACAAGAATCTGTACTTTACTGAGAAAGTGTAATTCCAAATATAACATGTGTTAAATTTAACCACTTTCTAAATGGGTTTGTGTATGCAGAAAAACAATGAGAAACGCCATCACAACTTTTTCGTAACAATTTAGCTTGAAGACCACGAAAGTCCATGTACGGTGAAGGAACGTGAATGTTACTGTTGTCGCCGGTTCATATTTTAAGACATTATTACAAATGAAACCTAACTATTTTCATATTGGAGATTCATAGTTAAACTCTCTTTGCCTGTCATCAGTTTGTGTGCTTCCTGAATGGATAAAGGATGTTGATATTATAACTTATACAATGTGAGACTCTAAGTGATTTACCGGTACTTGTTAAATTGAATGTTTGATGATATATAGTGACACTTAAATGTCTGCCTGGTTCAGAGTGGAAGGGGTTGTAAACTTAAGCAGAAACGAAAATAGAACAGATCTGATGTGAGCTTGAGGATACAGGCTAGGGCCCTCTTTACAGTTTGTAGTCAGTGTAACAATGGAATCAGGAAGTCAACACTGTGGATTTCCGAGAACCATGCTCCAAATAAGGGCATTCTATTTTCTTACACATACATGTACCTTAGAACTGTTTTCATTGTCTTATTATAGTAAAATCTACGAATATTGAGTTCTTTATCTATACGAACCATTGAAGTAACAGGATAAACATCTCCGTGGGAATACATGTGCGAGTGATCCTGAGTCCGGCTTAAACTCACTATGACGCATTGAATCTGCATCATTCTGTATCAGCTTAGTGAGGGAAAACCCCGAAACCTCTTGACTGTATGTATGTAGGGTACGGACATATTGGGAATGAGTGAGTGAGTGAGTGAGTAAGTGAGTATGGTTTTACGCCGCTTTTAGCAATATTACAGTAATATTACGGCCGGGACACCAGAAATGGGCTTCACACATTGTACTCATGTGGGGAATCGGGTCTTCGGAGCGAACGCTTTAACCACTAGGCTACCCTACCGCCCCTGACATTTGGGGATTCGAACCATGGATATCATCACCAAAGGCGACTGCGCTATCCGTTTTACTGTTACAGTGTTTTTGACCATGTGTTTCCAAACAATCTATATGACGTCGTGTGTATAGGGGAAAATATAGCCCATCAAATCTTTATTATACAAACCCCTTTTTCCCTGTATGAAAATGAACTAATTACATTGGTTTTTTCTGTCCATCCGCACAATATTGTTCTTATATGTTTGTACTCTTTAAAGGTCATCAGGCCTACCAAAGAAAAAACCGAATTGCGAGGAAAAGCATAGAAATGTACACATTAAGACGCGAATGTGCATACAAACATACCGATGCGGAATCGAAAGCATAGAAACTGCATAAAAATACGACGATCTGCAACTTTAAAGAATCGAGGACGCGTTCCGAAAGACTCGAAGTGCATCACGATGTGACTGCGCATGCGCTGCCCAATTCCAAAATGGCGGATGAAAGTTTGACTCCTGCGGTTGGTAAGTGAAAATGATTTTTATTCTTCATATGTCTTGCTATAAGATATTTTATGAATTAGAAAAAAGAGATACAGGTTCCTAAAACGAAACTGTAAAATATTACATCATTTCGCCAGCTACATCGAAGAATATAAGTCATTTTGTGATTAGCATGTGGAACCGCTATAGTCCGTATCAAATACGGCCAACCGATTCTGATTCTTGGTTTGGTGGAGCATGATAGTATGGTTTTACACGGCCAAAACTGGGTACCCAAATGAATAACTGACTGTATATATTTTCAATATATAATTTGACAAAAATCTAATCCGAACTTATATATTTTCATGGTATAAATATGTAAAATATATTTTGAATATAATCACAGACTCGGGTCGTTGTCATGTAATTTCCATTGACTAATTAATAAAACAATTTTCATGAAGTTACTTTCGATCATAGTCAAATGTGAAATCACCTTAATGAAAATTATTTCTGCTTCACTAAATTAACATGTAAGTCTATGGAAAATATATCAAGTGCATGTTTCTGTAGGTCTATATATTGATTGCTATACTGCACTTCTGTCTTTTCAAAATTAATTTTGTTATTTTTCGGGTTTTTTACTAAGATGATATATAATATATTTTTATCATGTATAAAGAACTGGATATTCTAACTGATAACAAAAATTTTTTATGAGGCTAATTTTAATTTAAATTTTTTAAAATAACTGTAAAATTAGAATAAGGTTTCACTTTTAGATGTTCTAATGGAGACCTAATTATCTGTTTTTGATTTTCCAGCAATGCTCCTGAAAGAAATGACAGATCCTGCAAGTCCAGGTTCATGTGATGAATTAACTACCATTCCTGAATCACCAACCACATCACAGACATGGACTGAACCACAACCAGATCTTCAACATTTGAGGTTCGAGTGCGAGTACTGTGACAAGGTGCTAGCAACAAAGATGGGAATGAAAATGCACACCCGGCAACATACAAAAGAGTTTCCTTATGCATGTAGCCAATGTAGTAAAGGGTTTAATACGCGAGTCCTCCTCAAAGCGCACCTGGCCAAGCATCAAGGAAAGCCGTATGCAACTTGCAAACTTTGCGGAAAAGCTTTAGCAAGTCCATCGGCACTCAAGCGGCACCATGCCTTACATGAAGGCACAACTTTGAAATGTGAATATTGTGAAAAAACATTTCACACCAAGGATTCACATTCAAAACATCAGATTTCTCATCAAACGAAAACAGAAAGGTGTCAGCTATGTGGAAAAGACTTTCATGAAAAAACAATTAATAAGCACATGCGTGAAATTCATGGCGAGAAAAAACACCAGTGCGAGTTATGTCCTTATGCCACAAACAGAAAGGCCGACTTAATGAGGCATGGTGTGATGCACAAACCCACCAAGATTGAAATCTGTTCTTCATGTGGCAAGGACTTTAAGTGGGAGACCTCCAGAAGGAGGCATGAGGAGGTCTGCCAAGGGCCAAAGGAGGACGAAGATTTCGATATTGTTGAAATAGACCCAGACCTTTTAATCCAATGCAGTGCAGCAAAAAAATAGTATATTTAAACATTTTCTCCAGTGACTGTGATGTGTAAATATGTTCCTGTGATCATCCAGAGAGAGACTGTGATGTGTAAATATGTTCCTGTGATCATCCAGAGAGAGACTGTGATGTGTAAATATGTTCTTGTGATCATCCAGAGAGAGACTGTGATGTGTAAATATGTTCTTGTGATCATCCAGAGAGAGACTGTGATGTGTAAATATGTTCCTGTGATCATCCAGAGAGAGAGACTGTGATGTGTAAATATGTTATTTTTTTATTTACATCTTATACATGTATTTTATTTTTGTGATAGCCTGTGATTTATATGTTGTTGAACAGAATTACTGTTTACCACCAGTCGGTGCCATAAATGTATACTGTATTGTCCAAGTGCCAAGTTTTACTTTATCAATAAAAACGTTTTGAAACTTATTTCCACATGTACTTCAATTGACAACACGAAAAAGTTCATTCAACAATTTTATTCAAGATAACAATACATCCTAGCAGCAGCAGCTCTTTCATTTACATGACATTATAATATGAAACAAATCAAATAACATGACTTAACTTGGAAGAACTTTCAAGTTCATTAACATTTGGTGTTTGTCATTCTGAAAACAAGACCATCAGGCCACCTTATGTTAGCTTTTCCCACAAATGTGCCCTAGGGGTGAGATGATTTTGGCACTTTCAATAGTATTTCCACTTATATCACAAGTGAACCAGGGATGGTACTGCACTGAATTTCAATTAAGCATTCACTCAAATCTTATTGCATGAAAAATAGTTTTTAAAAAGCAGTGTCTTTAGCTTTGCCCATTCTCACAAGTGGATTTATTCGGGACTCGTCAACTTTGTGGTGTTGACGCACTCCAGAGACTCCTTTAGCTGGTTCATGGATGTTGGATAGTCCATGCAGATGGTGACGAGCAGTGCGTCTTCGACTTTTGTCGTCAAACGGATGATCCTGAAATGTAAGATTATGTTATTGAAATATGCTTAACCAAATACCAAAAGTAATATACATACCAAGTAACAAATGTAACACATTACATATAACATTCGTAATCCCAAATACAATAAGATACAGAGGCTATGACATTCCTGTTAATGCTGATCTATATATCTATATCTAAAGCTAAATATTGTTTTGTGAACGGACTTGATCTGTCCAACTATTATACTCACAACAATGTTGATGTCATCAATAAAGCAAGGTGGAGGTCTTGCAGCAGGGAGTGGCTTGTTGACTTTCTCAAGAGTTTGTTCAGGGTACACAGGAGCAGAAGACATACGGAGAGGGAATCCTCTACAACAAATAAGATTAATAAAGGAATGAAATCATTATCAAAAGTAAATGCCTTTGGACTTAATTTGTGAACACTCAATTTGCCAAACTGGTTAATGTCAGCTAAAAACTGGAATTAGTAATGATAATGCAATTATTTTCAATCCAGTAATATTT